CGACTTAAGGTTGAGGGAGATAAGCAAAGAGCACACACTAGAAAAAAGAAAAGCTAAGAGATGGGGGATGAGGATGAAAGCTTGGAGAAAAAAATTAAGATAACACAGAGTAAAGGGATGATAAAAATGTTGTGTCTGTTTATGGGATTTAGACAAAAGGTAGAGACCAGAGAGAATAAAAGGTAAATGAATTTAGAAAAATTACAAAAAGACATGGGTGTTGTGTAGGGGTTGAATTTTTTAATATATATTTAGAAGTAATATAACCGGTTTCATTTTTTAATTTTGGAAAAAAAAATTTTTAAAAGAAACTTTGTTGGAAGGAAATTTGGCCTTGGTAACAAAAAGATTTGTTAATTATTTTAATAGAAAAAGAATTGCCAATTAATTCCACAGGATAATAACAAAACATTTCAACTTTTGAAATTTCAACAAAAATTATATCGAAGTTATTGCTTAAAAGTGGCATTAAACTAATTAATGCTTAAAACATTTGCTTAATTTCCTAAAACTACCCATGAACGGAGACAATGTGTAAAGTACATAAACTAAAAGAAACATTAATGGAGATTGTGCCAAATTCAAGTCATGTCATCTGCTTAAATTATGGATGTCTAACCACTTGTTAGATGATTTTTGCACGATATAATCTAACAATATCTTGATGAATGTTATTTAAAGAATCAAATATATCATTTACTATGGATATCTATTTTTTACATGTTTATTTATCTCTTATTATTTTTTAATTACCATGTGAGTAATTTTTTAAAATATAAATATTTTGCTATAATCTTAAAAAAAATTATAAATATTTTTTTCTTAATTAGATAAAAGATATGACATGATAAAAACTATTTTTAAAATTATAAAATAAAAATTTTTATGCTTAATAATTATAATTACTATATTTTATAGTCAGTTGAGCAAAATTAAAAAATTTTACGACCTCTATAATCATAATGATTGCGAAGGTCTCCATTATGTTCACAACTACAATAAATGCAATGCGACAAAAAATGTAATTGCAACCGTAATTTAAATCCTTGATCTGATCGTTAAAGTATAGTTAAGGCTTGCAACTTTTCTAACATGAAAATGCATGCATGTTAAACAAAAAGCAAATAAAGTAGCACATCTATTAGCAAAAGAGGGATTAAGAGTTAGTGAGATAATATATTAGATAGAAGAGTGTCCGGATTTTATCAATGTAAATGTTGAAAAAAATAGCTCTTGACAATGAGCAGTAAAGTTTTTATTTAAAAAAAAGTTTATTTCAAACAAAATAAAACTTTCATACAAGTTACCAAAAAACTGCTTATTTTTTTATAATGAACATGTTTTTAGAAATCAAGATATTAAAGCATAACAAAAAAAAAAAAAAGAAATATAAGATCAAGGCAAAGTAGACTAAAAATGAAATAATAAGGGAAAACTTTGGAACAGTATTGTCATAAAAAAGAATGTTAGAATGACTAAACTCCAAAGGAAATTGAAAAGAAAGGAAGTAAGTACAATTTCAATGGAAATCTGACAAAACAATCGCATGAGAATTATTATTAACAAATAAGTATATTGAAAAACTTATTCCTACATATATTTTAAACAATTTGAATAGATTAAGAAAATTGTTTTTGTCTTGCCATTATATACAAAAAACTTTTATAATAAGTGTACTTTACCTTTATTTTGTTTAATTAATAATAGATGGAAATGATTTGTTATCTGTCACATGTTAAACAATCATTGCAATAATTTATAGCAACAATTTAACTTAAAGTTTCAAATGCTGTCATTTTTATTTATTATTAATCTACCAATAAAAAAACATGTAAAAATAGGAACAATTTCTATAAGTAAAGAATAAAAAAAATGTTTACCAAATAGTTGCAGCAAAAAACTCATATTTGAAAGGCTTAACATTGCTCCATTTTAAAGCTAACCATGGATTAATTCCAAAGCAAACCAATTGTCATTTTATGTAAAATAATGAATTTTAGGTGCATTATTTTTTACTTCTACATTAAGGTTAAAAGCCATACATTACAAAGCAGGCAATGAATTTGAATTGAAAAAAACTAAGAAAAAAAAACTTAAATCAAGGTGCAATGTACATTGTCAAACAATTAAATACATTGTCTGGTTAATTAGGTTCTTCAAATCAAGGAACAAATGCTATGATTTAAGGATTTCAAGGTAAATGGAGAATTTCTTAATGAAAATATAAAACAATAATCATCTAATTAGCAAACCAAAACAAAGAATATTGTGGTTATGTTTTACTTACAATAACAAATGAAGATATTTGATGGTAATTGTAGAGACTGTCCTGCATTAAAGTGGAAGGCAGAAAGATGAACAACATTGAAAAGGAAAAAATTTAAAGAAATTTATTGTAAAACAATAACATAAAAAGTTTAGGAAAACAATTAAGGTCCTTCATTTTTAACGATATTAATATGATCAATACGTATAATAAACAATAATCATCCAATTATGATTTTTTAAAAAAATCATCAATTATCTAACAAAAACAAAGAACTCAAGTGGGTATTTAAAACCCTAATGAGATTGTTTTAATGTTGGGTTTATACTTGGGATTGAACATCCCTTGTGTTGGATTTTTTCAACCAAATTAAAATGTAGTTACTTCTAATCTTCCAAATTATTTTTAATTTTCAAATCGTAAATATTGAAAGTGTTGTGCATTAAAGCAAGAGACAAAACAAACAAAAAGCTAAAAATTTTGATTGAAAGTAAACAAATTTATTGTAAAACAACAAAAGAAAAAGTTTATACAAACTATCAATATCTTTAAATTTAAAACTATTAAGAGATCAGTATGAATAAAAACCAATAATCAACCAATTATCAAACCGAAACAAAGAGCTCTTATGGGTATTTAAATAAAATGTTGAAATTATTTTTATCTAAGATTTATACTTGGGATTCAATGTGTGGTGATCACAATTTCTTCAACAAACGATGGAGTTTGCTGCTTTTAGTTTTTCAAAATTTTTCAAAAATTTCTAGAAGGATGTTTTGGAATCTATTAATTCTTCCAACAAAATGAAAGAGAAGGGTAAAAGCGATTTTGAATTGATTTGTTTTTTTGAAAACTTTGTGTATGGGAGATGAAATATCATTGATATTAAGGAAATTAATGAAGAAATCAAAATGGATGATTAGAAGTTAAGAAAGTAAAAAAGAATTGAGTAGTATAATTAAAGGAAATTCTCCTAGTTCTTTTATTTAGATTCAACAAATTGTTTTGATATTTAAAAAGAGGCTAAATGTTCAATTTATGATCTAACATTTTCAGGATTTTTCAATTAAGAATATAATCTTTAATTTAATTTAATGTAAGATTAAACATTTTAAAATGAGTTCAAATAAGGACTTCATAATGCTAGTGTAACTCACACGTTTTAGGTTAGAGTTAAACTCTGCATTTATGTTTTTAGTTGCCATTTTCTTAAGAGCAAAATTGTAATTTTCATTGAAAATTTTGTGAGATGTAATAAAAAAAATATAACTATCAAAATCTTCGTAAACAAGTAAGAAAAACTAGAATAATCATCAAAGGCAAAAAAATCTACGTAAACAAACATAAAGAAAACATCATTTTTGGCATTCAAGATAATACAATTGAAACCTTTTATAGAAAACCTAAAATAAAAAATTACCATAAAATCCAAAAAATATTAAAAAACAATATAATATAACACACATCTTCATTTGGCAAATCATCTCAAAAGGGGATACGAAAGACTCAATGGAAAAAGTTTATGAGAGGAGCAATTGGAGTGATGGGCTTGGGAGTTTTAAAGGAAAAAAAAAAAGATTGAAAAGTGGAAGCCGAAATTATTTGGTCTCTTGATTCTAAAAGATACGAGTAATCCAATAAAATTACAAACAAATTAAAATTCCCTTAGGTTGTTTTGGGTGATTCCAATCAAATCTGATCTTTTGCTTTAAAAATGCACTCATAAATCAAGGTCTCGTTAGGTTGATTAAAATGATTCTAATCAAATTTCATTTTTTTTAAAGTGAAAAAAAATTTGTTAAAATTAATAAATAAATTATGATCTAACCAATAAGACGATTTCAATCAAATTTGTCTTTTATTTTGAAAAAATCCGGTAAAATTATTAACAAATCAAAAACTCCTTAGGTCGATCTAGATGATTCCAATCAATTATGGTCTTTTGCTTGAGTAAGTAACCCGTAAAATTACTAAAAAAAATGTGCAAGTAATATGATAAAATTACTAACAAAACATAATATTGTTAGACTCATTATTCCAACTAAATTTGATCAGTACTAAAAAGGAGTAAGTAATCTAATAAAATTAGATATAATAATTTTACGATGATATAATATAAAAATATAAAAAAAATGAAAGATGCTATAATTTAAAATTTTAATAAAAATTATAAATAAAAAAAATATATTTCATATTTGATATGTTAATACAAATTATAATATTATAATTTTTATTTATATGTTAAACATAAAATAAATAAATACAAATATAAACCTATTATTAAACCTAAATAAAAAAAAATTTAATCTTTTACTTTGAAAAGGAATAAGTAAATAATTAATCCAGTATCATTAGACAGATATGGATGATTTCAAAAAATTTTGTTTAACTTCAGAAAGGTGCAAGTAATTTAGTAAATTACCAACAAATCAAAACCTTATTAGCATAATTTCACTGATTAGACTTATTAGCATAATTTTAATGCAATTTGGTCTTTTGTTTTAAAACAAGTACGTAATTCAATAAAATTACTAATAAATCAAAATTCCAATCTAATTTAAACTACCATAATTAAGATAACACCTGATTTTAAAAAGTGCAAGTAATCTGATAAAATTAGTAACAAATAAAGATTTAGGCTTATCCAGATAAATTCAATGTAATTTTGATTTTTTACGTGTAATTTTCATATAATTACTAACAAATCAGAGAATGATTTCACTTTGTTATTTAACTTTTTTCTTAAAAAGGAAAAGTTAAAACTCATTTTGATTCTAAATTTATAATCCAATTAGTACGATTGAATCAAGCTCATCCAATCCCTACGAAAAGCGATGGCTGCAGCGAACCCTAAAGAAGCGGTGTGCGTGACCGGAGCTAATGGTTTCATAGGCTCATGGTTGGTACGCACCCTCCTTGAAGACGGCTACACCAGCATCCACGCTTCGATTTACCCAGGGTCAGACCCAACGCACCTGTTCTCTCTCCCCGGCGCGACTTCCCCAAACGTGCGGCTGGAGGTGTACGAGGCAGACGTCTTGGACTACAGCGCCGTCCTCAAGGCAGTGGAGGGATGCCAGGGTGTGTTTCACGTGGCCTCTCCCTGCATTCTGGAGGACCCCAAAGACCCAGAGAAGGAGCTGGTGGTGCCTGCTGTGCAGGGCACACTCAACGTGCTTGAAGCTGCCAGAAAGGCCAAGGTCAGGCGCGTGGTTCTGACTTCCTCTATATCAGCTATTGTGCCTAACCCCAATTGGGATCCTGAAACGAAAGGTGCCTTTGATGAGTCATCCTGGACAGACCTGGAATATTGCAAGGGGCGACAGAAATGGTATGCAGTGTCAAAGACTCTGGCTGAGAAAGCGGCATGGGAATATGCAGAGAAGCATGGAGTGGATGTAGTGGCAATCAATCCAGGCACTTGTTTAGGTCCTCTGCTGCAACCCAAGTTGAATGCCAGCAGTGCAGTTCTGCTGCAGTTGTTGCAAGGCTCCAAAGATCCTCAGGAGTTCCATTGGTTGGGAGCAGTGCATGTTAAAGATGTGGCCAAGGCACACCTATTATTGTTCCTATCTTCTGCTGCTTCTGGTAGATATCTTTGCACCAATGGCATCTATCAATTCGCTCAGTTTGCTCAAACTGTCTCTGAACTTTTCCCTCACTATCCTGTCCACAGGTTTTGCTTTCCCCTTCCTCACTCTCTCTTATAGATTAAAATCTATAAAACACCACACTAGTGACATAATGTAGGGTTGGGTGACTGACTTTTCAATCTATCAGGAAAAGATTACCATGAAATGCATAATGGCATGGTAACGATAATATGTTCATTGTTAGAATCACAAATCTAGAATCAACACTGTCGTTTATGTTAGGCTTTGCTTGTGTCAAGGATGAATTGTTGAAAATGACGGATCCCAAATCTAGAATCATAGTAAAACATCGTGCTTAGTTGTTTCTTGTTCATTCTACACTATATTTGGATGCGGTGAAATTGTTGGCGACTGCTCTTTTCGAGAGAAAATATATACATGTCTAAATTTTTGGTGTTTTATCTCATAATTTATAGTCCTTTTGGTGATAATTCTGCTTGCCCTTTGCCATTGTCCAATTAGAGAAAATAAAGATACTGAGAATTGTTGGCAGGCAGCAGGAAGAATTTAACTTGATAGCTGTTAACAACATATTGATGGGTCATTGGAAAACCATATAGTAAAATTCAAAACCATAAGAACTGCAATTCAACTTATTTGTGAAATCCCTTTGTTGTTAATATTGGTCAATTCAAGTAGAGAATCGGTGACCCTGGAATATAGTGTCATAACACACCTCATGTGGTTTAAAGGTGGACATGAATTTAACTTATTACTTCCATAATTACAACTCTCTAATGGCTTCAGTGTCCTCCTCTTGCCTTATCCCTTTATTATTGTCTAGTTATGGTGGCTCCCTTGCAGAAAGTTGAGAGCTGGTCTCATTGGGGTTTTGATTCTTTTTCTCAATGATGATATGCTCAGATGCCTTTTTTTTTTCCCCTTTTTCTTTTTTTTTTAAAATTCTGTGATTGGAAAAATCTCTTTACTTTTCATGAGAGTTGGGTTTTCTCAAGTGACCCCTCCTTACATTAACCCGGTCCTAGGGTCCTCCACTTGCTTCTTGTGGTTATGGCTCTATTGTTGTGTGTAATGTGCATCTGTATCAAATGCTTTATATTTGGTGTCATCAAAGCTTTATGATTTCATATGCTCTGCTATTACGTACCGAAGCTTCACATGCATGTAGGATGTTAGACTTTCACAATTGGTTGATATGCTGGTTTCATTGCATATTCTATTCTTTATTATTCTTTTTATTTAGGATTGTTGTTTTTTATTGTTCTTTATCTATTGTTGTATTGTGGTGCAAATTTTAACATCAGTAAACATTCAGGTTTACTGGGGATACACATCCGGGCTTAGTTCCTTGCAAAGATGCAGCCAAGCGATTAATTGATCTGGGTCTAGTCTTCACCCCAGTTGAAGAAGCTGTCCGTGAGACTGTGGACAGTTTGCTAGCCAAAGGCTTCCTGAAACCGCAGCAGATGTTACAGTCTTAGAAAGTACAAAGTTTCTTCTGTTTTTATTTTTTTCCTGTTATTTCTTCTTCTCTATCAATCTAGAGTGTGGAGTTAAAACTTTTCTTTCTTTTGTTGGTTATGTTTATTTAGCTGTCATAATCATGGATGCAATAAGAAGGTGGGTGCCTTTTTAAAGTTTAAAGTAACATATATTTTCATTATTATAATTATATATTTTTAAACAAAATATATTTATATTTTTCGTCAACCAATTGAGTAAATTTCATCTATGAAAGCAGGAGTTCAATCCCTTTCTCCACGTAAATTTTTTTTTTGTTCAAAAGCAACTTTAGTGCTTGATCTGAGTAGCATTCATTTGACGTACTAAGAAGCTCCTAACATATATATATATATATATATATATATATTTTTTTTGGGTTCAAAAGCAACTTTAGTGCGTGATCTGAGTAGCATTCATTTGACGTACTACGAAGCTGCTAGCATCAGGGTAAATGTTCTATAAACTAATAATGAATTGAATTACAAGAAAGGAATATTATTCAAATGTCTATGGTTTACTATACCATATATGCAAGAATGTTAAAATAAAAATGTAGATGCGTAAAATACAAACTAAATTTTAATTCACGTTATTGTATGGATACTTAAGTTTGTCATGGATTAGACTTTATTCATTAAAATTAAGAATATAGTATTTTATTAACAAATCATAGGGTAATTTTTATTCACATTATGTTTTGGATTTTTTTTTTCTTCCTTGTTACCTTTTTATATTTTTTCTTCTGAAAATTTGATATAAAGTAAAAAAAAAAAAAAAGATAAAAAATAATTTCAAAAGTTATTCAAAATATATTAATAATTAAAATACAACATTGTTTATCTGGAAGTGAAATCATACATTTTGTCATTTAAAAAGATCATTGTGTATAAAATGTCCTTCAAAATTTTATTTGAGTTGATATTTAAACATATTTTTTAGTTTATTTCAAAAGAAAAAACACCAAAAATAACTATCATATAGAACTTTAATAGAAAAATGGATGGAGGAGAAATGGGTGTAAACAGTCAAATTATTCGTGAGTTATTTAAATTTGAGTTGGTAAAAACATAATTTGATTCGTTTATTATTGAATCAAGTTTTAATTTTAGCTATTCGAGTAACGAGTGGAATTGAATTGGAGTAGTTTAATATCTAATTTGAAAGTTTCACAGGTTTATTGAGTTTTTATTTTTTTAATATATAAAAATTAATAAATATAATGTTTAATGTTAATATTTTTAAGAAAAATCAAATTTACTAAGTCGAGTTCGAGTGGTTCAATTAAATTATAAATCAAATTTAAGTGAAAAATGAAATTCGATTGAATTTAAATTTAATTTCAAGTTCCAAGTTTTTGATGGAGCTGAACTCGAGTTTCACAATATATTAACTCAGATTTGGCTCCATTACATCTTAAGATAAAAGGTGACAATGAACAGGTATTATTTATCTGATTAAACATAAAGGTATTGGACAGTAAAACTAATCAAGGGAAGGGTTGGAATTTAAGATAGGACAACCGCTAATTGAAACCAATAATATTTTACTCTGTTTTCATGGAGTACTAAGTTAAATCCAAAATAAAACTAGTTTAATGTAGGCAACAAATTGTTTGATTAATTTTTGGGGTAGACGAGATTGCTGCTAAGAAGTGTGATAGGCTTCTAGCACACAACAGAAGGACGGATCAAGCTGCACTTTGAGACAAGTTTGTCCACTGATGTTTTTCTAAAGCAACTTGAAACTTGGTTGTCGCACGTGACTGGGGACCTCATGACTCATTTGGGGTGTTTAAATAGAATTAGCGTCACTTGTATCTGATAATTTACGTATTTGTATAATTTTTATGTAAAAACAAAATATATTATTTTTATTTTTGTCTAATTCATATATAATTTAACTAAAATTTTAAAACGTGCATTTCGTTTGTGACTATTGAGTTCAATTAAGCCCCCCCACTAGTCTTGCTTTAGTTTTTAGTCTCTTTCGCATTTCTCTCATGTTATTTTTCAAAAGCAAACAACACTCCATGTGCATCATCTTCCTACCCTTGCTTCTTGTTCCTTTTTTCCAAGTAAAGAATCTACCTTTTATCTATATTTAGAGAGAGACTTGCAGTTCTAATCATGGAGCTTCTTCTGCCACTGCATGTGCATCAATCACCTCGACCCACTTCGCATTATTTTACACTCTTCAGCTTTTCCATATAACCAATTTTTGGTGCATACATGTACTCCTCCACTTTCTAATTTTTCAAGTGAAAATAATCAAAATTTGGAACCTTGCAATGAACAGCAGTCCAGCAGCTTGCAGGCAGCAACAGTCTTGGTAACTTCTCTCGCCGGTCGGTGACGGATCCATGAGTTTTTTTCGAAGTTGTCCACTTACAATAAATACGGAAATTTTAGGGTGTCAAAAAATTTTTTTTTCTTTCAAATTATCTTATTTTTCACTCACCCTGCTTTTCAATATGGATCCGACGTTGTCTCCCACTGGTCTTGTCCTTTCATATAACCTTGTTGAAACTATTGTTTGACAAATTTTATCTCGTTTCTGTCATTTTCTTTTGGTTTCCGAAAGGTCCATCAGTGAGGACTCCCTGAGAAGGTACGTCAAATTTGCAAGTGAGAGCTGCATACAGGAGTTATTGTCGGCTTCAGACTCAAACATGTTGGGGAATTGTAGTGATGGATGGAAGATTCTCACCCTTGACAATGGAGTAGAAATTTCAAAGCGCAGGTCTGGATCTCTTCACATTTTCCGTAGTCGCTGGCTGCTCAGATCTGTCTCACCCCAACAATTCATCACCGTTGCTAATGCTATAGATGCTGCCAAGGTGCGACTGATCTTCTTGGTTTTGTTTAACCTTGTTGGCTGGTGAGCATTGCTCAAACTTTCTTTTTCATTTGTCTGAAGATGGATTCCGGTCCCTTTGGCTGCCTGGAAAAGATTTTTTTTTTTTATTGGTCTCCAAGCACTGTCCATTGTTCGGAATATATTCTTTATTTTATGTGGTTGGTCACTTCCTTACTAGAAAGGGGTAAAAAGTTAAATTTATCACTTTATCAATATAAACTGGTTTTAAATTTATCTCTCTACAAAATTGAGTGTTCCAAATACATAAAAAAAATGTTGGTTAAAAATTTTTATTGCTTTTTGTTTTTATTTTTGGTATTTAAATTATTTTTATTTTATATAGTTGAAATTTGCAACAAAAATCAATAATTTTTTTTATATTACAATTTTAATGGAATTAATTTCTTTTTCTATTAAGATGATTTAAAAAAAAAATTGCACCAAAAATTTAGATAGAGTGATAATATTGGCCCACAAAAAGAGTAGTAATATTGCACTATGAAAGTTGATTATTTAAGAATTGACTTCGTTAAATTCAATTCTCGTTGCTAATAATTTGAGTGATATATAAATTAAATATAATTTAATTCTCGTTGCTAATAATTTGAGTGATATATTTTTAAAAGGTAGTTAAGGATGCAAACTTTAATTAGTAGAATAAAATTAACTGCTAATATAAATTGTTTTATAATTGCCCATATATATTGTTGCTTCAAAATGAAATTTTGTTTTGGTGGACAGCAATGGGACCCTGACCTGGTAGAAGCCAGATATATAAAAGATGTTGAAGATAACTTAAGCATTATTCGTCTTAGGTTTGGAGAAAACTCGAAGCCTCTCTTCAGAAAAAGAGAATTCATAGTGTATGAGCGACGTGAAACCATGGAAGATGGCACTTTGGTTGTAGCAGTGGCCTCATTGCCCAAGGAAATTGCTGCTGGATTGCTTCCAAAGCAAAACAATGCAATTAGAGGATTATTGCTGCAATCAGGATGGGTTGTGGAGAAGCTTGAAGATTTGAACTCCTGTATTGTTACTTATGTTGTTCAGGTAATTAACCCCCTTCATTTGTTTTTTGCACATGCATTCAAAATTTTAAAAGTTACCCACAAGGGTAAGTTAATTAACTCTAAAAAAATTGGTTAAGAGTAATTAACTCCAATATTGCTTTTGCGTAACCTTAAATCGTTTCGAAAAAAATTGAGGTCCAAACAAAAATTTTGAAATATCCTTGAATTATATAAATTTGGTAATTTTAAAATATATGATATGAAAATGATATAAAAAATTATATGAAAATAATACGATTTAAAATTTAATTAAAATATTAAAAAATCTTGAAATATTTCACTTTTTTTTAAAAGTAAAATCTTATATTTTTATTATACCCAAATAAGCTATTGACTAAAATATTTTTATGTTAAAGACTTATTTAGGTATAAATTGAAGATTGAGGTCTTATTTAGATATAAATTAAACAATAACTGCTAATTTGATTAAGGGTTAAGGACTTATTTGTATGTAATAAAAATATAAATACTTATTTAAATAAAATAGTAAAATTCGAGGGTTATTTGTTATTTTAACCCTAAATTTTGATAAAAATTTTATATTGATTTGGTAAAAACAAAAAAAAAAGTTTTATATTCTTGTATTGATACGAATTGTGATACAATAATTTTTTATTTTATACATGTTTAACATAAAAATAAATACAAAATGAATATATGAATTGACAAGTCTAAAATTACCAAAAAAAATTAAAAAATATTAGTTCTACTTTTAGTTTTGTCAAGGTCATGCTCATATTTATTGTTTGTAATTATGCGCAGTTAGATCCTGCAGGATGGCTTCCCAAGTGCTTTGTGAATCGGCTGAATACCAAGCTAGTTATGATCATTGACAACCTTAAGAAACTAGTTCAAACTACTCCACCACATCAATCCTAGTGTCTTTGCAAACCAAAATCCAGTGTGTTTTTTTTTTTCTTCTTTTAATTGATATATAATATCGATTATATGCAGATGTTCCCATTGTTATCTCTCAATATTGTAAAGGCAAAACTTACCTAAAGGTACTTTTAAATTAAATTTGAAAGAATTTCGATTAATGAACGTAAAAGAAAAAAAAAAGAAAATCACTATCCATAAATGGAAATTGTTCAATAATATTTGAAAACTTGAATTGAAAGCTGTTGGCTTGTTCGGTCGAATAAGGGGCAACAAATCGGGTGTTTATCCAACAATATCTGGTTGAGCTTGGATTAAATTGGTTTTACGATTGATGTAATATTTTATATATTAATTTTTTTATAACTAATAAGATTTGAATATTTAATTTATAATTATTAGAACTGAATCGGATTTATTTAAAATTATGAATCTAAGGTAAAATGATTTGGCCGTTGAATTAATATTAAGTTAATAAAAATACTTAAAATATTATAAATAAAAGTATAACTTATATAAATTTTTTTCTTTTTTGTATAAACTAAAAATTAACTTATATAAGAATTAAAAATATTCATTCATTATTTAAAAATTGCAAAAAATTAAGCTTATAAAGATTTTTATTTTTAGTTTTAAGAATGTATTTTATTTTTTATTTTAACCTCTTTTAAGAAAATAATTTTTAGTGAAAAAGAATAAAAGAAGCAATAATTAGAATGCAAAAATTAAATTAAGCATGATTTAAAAATTATTTTGAAAAATCATACTCAATTGACTCAGATCAATAAAACATTTGACAGATCACTAAGTTTTTTTTCATGAACAGGTGAGTCGATTTGACTTTTCAAGTAACTGTACAAACGGGTCAACTATAGGATCGATCAAAGCTGAGTGTTGGGTTACCGGATCAACTCATTCAATTGTTGGACCAGTCCTAGTTTAATATCTATGTTTTAACCTCTCATTTTTATATTAAATACCATACCATTAAGTTCAATACATGTTTTGTGAAGTATTTATTACATTTAATACTTAATGCTAAAATCATGCATTTAATGTTAAATATTATTTTAAATTATACCAACGGATTAAATTAATTTATTTAATCGAAATTTAAAGCTTCCATCGATTCAACATTTGATTTACTTTTAAAAACATTTTGTTTACTACAAGGTAAATTAAACTTCATATAAATCGAAACTATAATATCATTTAATTTGTACTAAACAAAATATACCATTTAGTACAAATTTGAACCTATAATAACAAAAGAAATTTAAATACAATACTTTCATTTTTACTAAAAGATTTTACTTGATAGATACTTTTTTATTTTTATTTTTTATAAGAAAATAAATAAAAATAAAAAATAAATAACAAAGGCAAAATGTAAAAAAATCTGTCAATCAAATTGAGCCTAACTCGTTTCATAAAAGTTGTCTTATGTAATCTTTCGTTCTACTAAAATTATTTAAGATTGATTCTATAATGCATTTACAGCAATTTCTTTTTCGATATAAAAGTAAAGAATTACGAATGTTTAAAGGAAAATGAACATAGTTTTAGGACAACTCATCAAGAAAGGCGGACAATCCTTTTGAAAAAGAATTTTTTAAAATTTATTTATAAGTATTATTTTCCGGCCCATTGCTATTAGTCGTCGTTGGTCAACGACCGTAGACTGCTAGCCTCATTAGCCACCAATGACCAGATCTAATGACAATGACAGCTTCCTTTCTCCTTTCGGTCCTTCTTCCCTCTCATTATCTCGGGGCCTGTCTTCCTTGGTATTCCCATTCCCCTCGCCACCGACCTCCATTGCCCTCTCATCATCCTCCCTTCCTCTTTTGCATGTCTTTCCATTGTTAACAAGTATTAGAATTTTTTAATAAGTTATTATTAATCAATAATTTTATAATATAATAAAATAAATTGATAAATTTAATATTAATACAAGACAAATATGATAATATAAATAATTTATAGTGATCATTTAAATATAAGTTTTGCATATTTTATTGGATCAATATAATTTGACAATTATCTATGCCTTTAACTTGAGACGTCTTTAATGGAGAAGCTTATAGAATTTCAATAAAATATATGACTAAGATCCTTTTTTCATTTTTAATGATATCTACCTATTAAAAGTCTTCGATAAGAAAGAGAAAAACTTAGTACATCCAAAAAACTATAGTTACATCCTCTTATCAATTATGTTTATCCAAACAAGTATGCAATTTGATTGAGTTTGATGTTCTGATATTTACATATGTATCTTGAGATTTAAGAATTATACTTTGTTGATTTCCATTGTCATGTGGTTATTTACTTTACTTTGTTTTCACATTTCTAGCACTTATATTTTGTTGAAGTTTATTGAGCTTGAATTTGCAATGTTTTACTTGATCTCTTTACTGGCTTTTGTTGCTTACTTGTTGATCTAAGTTTCCTTAACTCAATTTAACTTCAATTGCTTTCTAGGAGTGTAGATCTATTTTTTAATTTTAGCATTTTTACATTTTCAGCATTAAATCTAGGTTATGGTTTCTATGTTCTTTACATTTTCCATGCATATCTTTTAAGTACCTTTAATTCCTTGGCATTTTAATTCTTGTGACATTGCTGTTTTTGCATTTAAATTTCTATTTTAGATTGAATTCATTTAAAATTAAGTTGCATTTACATTTTAAGTTTACTTGTTAATGCATTTGGTTTATGTAATTTAATTTCTTGTTCATAGTTTGCTTTCAAGTTTAGATTAGTAATGCCTATTATATTCAAAAGAATTAAGTATAGATATGGTATGTTAATAATATGTACTTAGCTAAGATATCTTCATTAGTTCTCGAGAGAATGAGATTTTGACTTTTGTCACTATTATTAGTCGTACGACCTACGTGCTTATGAAATTGACCAATCAAGCTTTTGGTACTATTATTAGGGATTAGGTTGTCAAGATTTCCTTTAGTCTAATATCGTGCCTTGACGTGCTTTTCTGTTGACTAATTCACCCTTTAGTGTACATACTATAGGCTAGTTACTAACTTGATTCAATTTTATGGGTATAACATAAACCTAGTTTTCCTTGTTGCCTTAGCTCATTAGTTCCTTTGTATGCATCTTTCTTTAGCTTACATAGCCTTAGAGTTGATAGCATAGTGTAGGTAGTTCTAGTATACGTAGCTATTATGTTATTGTTTAGGTTTTATTTTACTTTTCATGTGGGAATTTAATCTTTATAAGGTAGCCAGGCACCATAAGGACCATGTTAGAACTTTTTCTAATGATTAGCTAATGCAATGGCCATGTGATGACAACAAAGCCAAAAAGAGAGTCGGCCTTTAAAGCTTTATTAAAAAAAAAAAGACATTCGAGCAAATGAAATAAAAACCTATATTAAAACTAGTCATGATCCTAAACCTAGTATTGTTCATCAATTCCAAAGCCAAAATGAAAATGATCATGTGCATGGTGGAAACTACTATAGTGATAGGTGTCCACATGACCAACAATACAAGTTTGACCAAAACACCTATACTACTCAAGATTGTGAGGGTTATCCTAAGCACATGTGAAATATTAGTTCGAGGTATTTCTTTAGTTTACCACTTAAGACACCTTGACTTATCCTATTCAGCATTTATTTCCTCAATACTCTTCACCACCATAATATTCTTTACCATTACCACAATTCTCTCAAGTTTCATACTATGTTCCACCGCAACAATATTTTCCTTCATCATAATACCATTCATCTTCATTTTGCCTTTCATCCACACAATACTCACCACTCTTACAAGAAAAGAAGACATCCCTTAAGGAGATATTTGCCAAAATCTAAGATAACACGATTTAAACTCATGCAAACTTTCTCAACAATAAGGCATTCATTAGGACTCTTAGGCAAATGGTCAAAAAGTACATACCCTAAATACTTGCCTTTAGGTATCCATGATTAGTACCATAGAGTCAAAATTTAGTTGAGTAGATAAGGAGAAATGTACATTAAGGGATGATTTGAGGAGAAGAGAAACAATGTGGTTTTATGATGATGATATGGAGCATATTGAAATTGCCACATTTTGTTAAAGTTATAGAGGAAGAGATAGTGGAGGTAAATGACAAGTTTTTAGCTAGAAAATTGATGATAATGGATCATTTATGAAAGTTGAGAAAAATGATAGCATTCAAGAAAAAGTTGAGCGTAATTTTCCACGAATGCCATTTTTTGAATTACTTGAAGATCACTTACTCAATTGTTTGAAGATGGATGAGGTGGATAAAAGTGTTGATAAGACAAGCTTATTAGATACATCACTTAAGCTTAAACACATTTTTTCTTGAATCTAGCATTAAGTTTAAGGATGAAGAGAAACTTATTAGCAAAGAACTTACTTGTCTAGTGGCTTTTCCATTCCATGATCCTATGTCGAAGCTTTAAACATCTCATTGTTTGAGCTTTCTGAAGATAGGTCATTCATAAAAGAAAAAGTGAATGATAAGAACTTTGGTAAGGATGGATCTATTCTCTATAATGAACTACAAAAAGGTCTTAGCAGTGGTTTTGATCAAAAAGAAATTGAACCTTATAGTTCACCCATGCCATTTCATTTGATAATTAAAAATCCATTATATGATGATTTGATAATGAATGTGGTTGAAAACCCACTGTTCAATAATAGTGATGAAGGTTATTTGACTTCAACATTAGAAACAACCCTTGTCTAACTTAAACCTATACCATTTATAAAGAATTCTTTCATTGTAGAGTCAAAATCCATATTCTCCATGGTGGTAGGTATTGAAGCCAACATCACCTATGTTATATCATTTTACGATATGCTTAGATTATTCATAGAGGTGGGATACAAATCTACGGCTAAGGATTAGGGCCTTTTAGAGATTATCATTATATATTTGGTGTTAAGGAAAAGAATGAAATGGGTAAATACAAGAACGAAATGTGGTGTGATTCTTTAACATTGTTGGAAGTCAAG